TGTTTCCTACCATGGAAGTGTGAACTTAAATAAGGAACATCCCAAAAAGGAAAGTGATAACTTTAATACGGACCAGAGGGAGTACAAATCAAACAAATACTCCCAATGGCCTTAAAAGTTTAGTCAAAATTGACTTGCATGGATAAAAGTAAAAATGGTACTAGTAAGTGATACTGAGATTTATAAGGAACTAAGGCCATATTCCACACATTCCACACAATAGGCTTGTGAGTTTATGGCCTCACAGCGCCACAAAAATCTGAATATAATTAGGATCCCAAAATTTTAAATACGTTTATATGAAGTATAAACGTAGTATTCTATATTTTATAAATAATAAAATATTTTATTATTTTGGAAATTTTATTTTATAACTTTTTTTTTCATTTTCCTTTCGATTTATTATTATTTTTTACGATTTATCATGAATAAAAACATTTCATTGCTAATTAATACCCTTAGGTGTATTTAGGGTAGAAAATTAATTTGTAGTCCTATTTGTAAATGATTTAAGGCTTTAGTCCTATTTGTGTTTTTTTAGGCAAACTTTAGTGCTATTTAGGACAATTTTTAAAATTTTAAATATGTTTAATTATATGAAGTATTGTACATACAACAACAATAATAATACTATTTTGGTGATGCAAACGCTCCGACCTACAATGGGTAATGCATGGGTCGGATATATACGCTCTCTTATCCTAATACTAAAGCATAGACAGACTGTTTCTGGATGACTTATGATCGAAAATCACACTGAAAATTGCATCGATCGACTATTCATTCGTAACAAATTAAAGAAGCATAGATAAACAAGCGTACTATTTGGCTTTATTCTATCATATTCTCAAACCAAAAATAGTAAGTCTTTGATTTCATTAGAAATGACGGAGAAATGGGTCACTATTGTACATATATATTCAAAATTGAAAAATAATGCTACGAGTGTGTCGAGTCGTCGTCTCTCACAGATTGCATCTTGTCTCTCTTGTCGGTGTTAGGAGTCTCCTCAATGGCGTTACGGCGTTACATATGGTGAAGAGATGTTTTCGGGGAGCAAAGAACAAACTCAGATAGTTTTGGGTCGTAAGGTTGAACCAACAATTGTTGAGGGATAATGTATGCATGGAGGGGTACGTATTCAGCAATCGGCTAAAGAGAACATCTAAATTGGGTAATGTTTCTTTTCGGCCCTTTATTTTTAGCTTCAGTTTCATAGTTATTCAAACAATTAAGACTACGTACTTTTGTATTTAATGGCTGAATTTAAGAACTTGAGCCTTTTATGGGATGGATATGGGATCGGATTAGTCATGTGGACAACTGATTAAACAATCTAGGTGGGCAACTAGGCGTCCTAGACGGTCGATTAATTCATCTAGGCTTCAAACCAATTAGTCGAGCTGCGTAGACTAAAATCACGACGCCCGCCCACGGCCTAGCGGCTAGCGCCTAGGCGGGGAATATTCGGAGTGCCTGGAGCAAATTTAAGAATAGTGAGTACACCAATAGCACAAGCATCTTAATAATTTTAATGTGAGTATTTACATGTAAAAAATACATATGATATTTTTATGGGAGAAAGACCAAAAATGATACTATGGTTTTTAATGAATTTCATATTAGACATAAAGTTTTAAGTAGACCAAATAAACACAAAATTATAGTTTTTGGGTCCATTTTGACCACCCTTTAACCCATCCGTTAAAGTAGCCTTCCCCGTTGTTAAGTCCTCATTCCAAAACCCCCCCTTCAAGCGACTTCCACACTAGCCCAGGCCCCACCCTAGTCCAACACCCTACCCCTCTCCAGCCCCAGTCCATGTCCCGTCCTTGCCACCTCTCCAGCTCCAGATCTGAGAAGCCAAACCCCGATCCGCACCTCCCTAGCCTGAGCTCCGACCATCCATCTCCAGCCTCCCAAACCAACCCCCTCCCGAACCCTAGCCACAGCCCCCTCACAACCCCCTCTCAGCCTGGCAGCCCTCGTCACCAGCCTAACATTGTCCCATCACCTATTGTCGCTGCCTACAGTCGCACAGTCGGCCACCCCTAGCTGCAGGCGAGATGCTCCAGATCGAACGGCGGTAGCTATAGCTTCGGTGATGTCGCGATTCTGCAATGGTGAAGCCTGCGATGGGTAATGGGGTAGGCTTTGACGCAGCAACAGCTTCGACGATGAGGCGGTGACCCGAAGGTAATCTTCCAGGCAGGGCGATCGACCTCCATTGTTCCCACCTTTAATCGGATAGGGGGTTAACGAAGGGGAATGGTTAGCGTTAAAGGGTGGTCAAAATGGACCCAAAAACTATAATTTTGTGTTTATTTGATTTACTTAAAACTTTAGTGTCTAATCCGAGATTCGTTAAAAACCTTAGTGTCATTTTTTATTTTTCTCCCTTTTTATTAAATAGTGTGGGTACGTACAGTCTAGATTAACCCCGATGTATGACCCCGATATAATAAGCAACTTTTAACTTAATTATTTGATCTCAATTCAATGAATGTTTTGAAAGGTACACAAATATCAACCCATTCCACCATTCCAAACGAATGTTTTCCATTATTTTCTTTTACTCTAAATTCACTAAGGTAGTGTAATCTTGACTTCTTTCATTACTCCCGTACATAAAGCTTCAAACAAGTCTGACTTTTTTTTATCTTCTAGCTGGAACCGAGCCCTGACCACCCGAAGCACAATTTTTATTGAAGTCTTACAATACAAAACATGTAGACTATTTTTATCTTATTCCAAATAAACTTCTTTTATCTAATTCCAAATTCAAATTTATAACAGCCCTAATTTGCCCTGGTTCAACTCATTTCAACCGTTATTGATCATAACACGTAACCACTAACTAGTCACATGCTTAAAAGTAGGATCTTTGAAACAAAGTAAAAACTGAAAATTTTCAACCACCTACTATCCTATGGTTTTCCTCGGCATTATGTGGCCTTAAGGGTAAATATTCTTTCCCCCCTCTCGTACCAATATAGCTTATTCATCTTTTGATTTCCTGGATCAAGAATAGCAAGGTAGGATTCACTTTACATCATCACCATCATGTTCAAGCTGTCTCCGCGAAGGAACCAGAGAAATAACGGATTCAAGGTGAAGCACGTCCTTCAGATATGTGTCCTATTAGGCATTTCCCTTTGGCTGATCTATCAATTTCAGAACAAGAAATCATCATATCAAGACAGCAGCATCCTAAAGAAGACAACCCCAGAGAAACAAGATGGCTTATCCATGATAAAGTTCGGGAGAAAGGATCTGGATCCTCGTATAGAACAAATGACTGCAGAAGATCTCAAGAACGGAGGACAGGATGCTGAAGAAGACAAGAGTTTTGATGATGACAACAAAACCCCAGAGATTATCAATGATCAAGAACAAGAAAAGGTAGATGAAAGGGAAGAGCCCGAGGTTGTTAAAGAAGAAAATAATGTGAAAGAAGATGAAGAGGAGCATGAGAGACAGCAAAACGGGCTCGGTTCGGGTTCAGCAAAAGCAAAAATTGGTCAAGAAAAGCATAATATGACAAATGCAGCAGAAGCTTTGGGAGGAGGCATAGGTGAAACCAGTTTGGAGGATAGCTTCAATGTGACAGCAGGAATGGTGGAATCTAAAGAAGGTGACAATTCTACACAGACGGAAAGTGAATTGACCACTAGTTCAACTCAATCCGGGAACAAATCCGAGGACAGTGTCATATTTAGCGGAGATGAAAGCAAAGAAACTGCACTAAAGGAGCAAGCTGAGAGGGATAATAATGAGGTCCCCAATCAGGAGAAGTCAGATTCAAATTCTACATCTGATAGGCAAAATTTAGTCTTGAACGGTCAAACTGATATGGGTGAGGAATTGAAAGAGCTATCATCAGGAGGTTCCGGAGAAAAAATTAATCCCTCAAACGACAATGATGAAACTACAGATCCAGGTGAAAACAATTCTACGGTTTCTTGGACCTCCCAAAATGAAGGATCTGCTTCCACATCAGTTCTTCTAGAAGAGACAGATGCCCGAACTGATTTGGAAACTATGCTCCAGACAGAAACTGAAGGGAAAAGCCAAGAAGCAACTGAGTAACAGCACATCTGTCTTTTTTTCTGTTTTCTATTTTTTTTTTTTAGTTTACATGTTATTTTTCACTTTCGTTTTCTATCTTCTACCACTAAGCAGCATTGCATAACAACATAGTATAGATGTGTAGTCTTAGAAATCATTTTATAAATATTTATTTATGTAGTTAGTTTACTGGGTTCAGGAATGTGATGCCTCCAGTTTCAAAAGGAATTTATCAAATTGTTCAAACCTGGGAATTACCGACTACCGACCATCAAAGAATGACTAAATCATACGTGCGACACAATTTTAGGTAAATAAATAGCACACTTGGATAATTTAACACTGTTTTCCATGTCTAAAGTTTAAATATAGAACTTTGTTCCACAATTGAGAGAATTGATATGAATGGGAATTGGGAAGGCAATCCATAAGTAGCCTTCAGGAATGTAGTTAGATTACTGGCTTCAGGAATGTGATGCCTCCAGTTTCAAAAGGAATTTATCAAATGTTTAAAACCTGGGAATTACCGACTACCGACCATCCAAGAATGAGTTATCATACGTGCGACACAATTTTAGGTAACTAAATAGCACACTTGGATAATTTAACACTGTTTCCCATGTCTACACTACACTTTAAATATAGAACTTTGTTCCACAATTGAGAGAATTGATATGAATGGGAAGGCAATCCATAAGTAGCCTTCAGGAATGTAGTTAGTTTACTGGCTTCAGGAATGTGATGCCTCCAGTTTCAAAAGGAATTTATCAAATATTTCAAACCTGGAAATTACAGACCACCGACCATCCAAGAATGAGTTATCATACAAGAATGAGTTATCATACGTGCGACACAATTTTAGGTAAATAAATAGCACACTTGGATAATTTAACACTGTTTCCCATGTCTACACTTTAAATATAGAACTTTGTTCCACAATTGAGAGAATTGATATGAATGGGAAGGCAATCCATAACTCCATAAGTAGCCTTGGTGTAAAGTCAATTCCATAAATAAATTGCATGTGTTTATTTTAAATAAACATACAATAAACATAAGAACCGGAAGGAATGAGTAAATTCAAGCTATCCCTGTATCCCATACATATTTTTGTTTCCAATATAAGAAGAGTATAAGAAACCCAAGTATTGGATACACTACAAAACAGCATCTTGAGAACGGGTTTGAAGCCTTGACCTTCTAACAAAAGACATGTTAACCAACCACTTATTACAGACAAGGATGGTTGGTGGATTATCAATGGTGCTTAGTCTCGAAAAGGCCATCTGGACCTGCATTCTCTCAATATCATCATTTCAGATAACTAATTATTCTAGGATTAGCAACCATTTGCAGCACCACAACATAATGTTAAGTACATAACAGAGACCAAATTTAAAAGTGCAACGTCTCCCTTAATGGAAGTAAACTTGAACTTACCCCATGGAAACTCCTTGTTTCGGATATGCATGTACGGATATGCCTGAAAATAGGAATGGTTGAAAACAAATATAACTGAACTCCATGAATTATAACTGTAAAATAATCTATAGCAGTAATCTAAAAAAGCATTGGAGACATCTGGAGAGTAGACTAAGGTCTACACTCTACAGTCTACCACTTAGGCAAAATTGAGCGAGGTTTATGAGCGTAATTGGAATATCACAAACATGTCATTGATAGAGCCAGTGGAAGAAAACTCTCTTAATTGACAAAAGCCTTCAAGACTTGATCTTGTCGATGTTTATACAATTGATATTGGAAATTTATGGTTTTATTGATGAAGAAAATCTCCTATTGATCCAAATTTACTAGGGAGTAAAATATTGCTACTAATCATATTAACCGAAATAGCACCAATGCAATCAAAGACACTCTTAACTCTACTAACAAGAACTTGATACGTATACAAATACATTACGTATATTATAAGGATCTCTTCCGCACAGATTTGCTTCCTGAGCTATATTATATTAGAGAAAAATAAACGCGATTACAGATACTCTAGATTGTAATTGCTCTACAAAACATTGATTGAACTGAAAGTAAGCTTACAGGAGGCTCATCATGGTGGGGGTGACCCTTAGAAAGAATAACACCAGCGAGGATAGTGCAAGCAACGATTCCCCCATAAGTGATTTTCTCCCATTTGGCTGCTTCCTCTGCTCAGAGGAAATGATTCAAAATCAATTGAGTTCCAAAAACGCAACTATAAAACAAAACTATGTCACTCTGACATCCAAATCCTCAAAATAGTCAAATGTCAGCGATAAATATGCATTTTGATTGTGAAAGACATACAGTATGATCTAAATCGCACACCGTATGAAATTGAAAATGAGGTATGCGGAGCACGGAAAAAATCTAACTTTCCACACAAACCATGAAGATCTCGTTATCGGAAAAAATATTTGCTAAGCCATATATTTGGTTCCGATGAAAAAGAAAAAATTATAAACCAAAACCTACCCTAAACGAATTGATTAATGAATAGGCGGAAGAGAACAGAGTATCAAAACTTACGAGCCTCATCGTGATGGGAAGCTGAAGAGAAATTACGCTTGGAAGCTAAACCTCCACGGCCGGAACCACCGCGGAGAGCGGAGCGTAAGCTGGATCTCATCATCGCCGACGCCATATTGGTCCCTCTCTCTCTCTCTCTCTCTCTCTCTGTGTCGGTCTCACTGTAATGCTGGCTGATGCGGGTAGACCATTTAATCGTTAATGGGCCTGACAACAATAACGCACTGCAGTCATTTCATTTACTTAAACGTTGGGCTGGAGAATAATAGGCCCATTACGATTTCAATTTACTTATGTATTGGACCGAACTGTTTCTAGAGAAGCAGGCAGTGGACTCGGCAGGACTGTCAAGTGGATGGATCGGTGCCGAGCGACCAGCCGAAACGCAATAGGTAATGTCCCCTAATGGTGAACCGCAATGGCAAAAGTTTTGAAAGGTTATTTGACTACCTGCATCACACTTCACACTTTGATGTGCAATATGAATGCTAGGAGACAATTGGCTTTTGATTTTGTATCATATGTTTTATTTTTGTTAGTAGAAAATAACTTAGAGAGAACGTGACAATAATCCAATATAGTAAGTTGTAAGTGATGCCGTGATGGGTGATGTAAAATCGAGTCCTAAAATATGTTAAGTATGAACTGAGTAAGAAATTTGGCAGAGTAACAATATGCTTGAAAATCAGAACTATAATTCCCTTCCATAAAGTGAAAGATAATATTATTATAGTGTACCAGAAAATACTTAGTAAAAATTAAACCAATTGATCCACTAATTGAGCCAAGTGTTCGTCTAATTGGTGAGCTAATATCTTGAATGATTGGTTGATTAAAACTGTAGTACATGATTTTATCCTTTATGTACCCGAATGGCTAAATAAGCCACACGTGTAAACTTGAAAGTTGTTTGTTGTAACCGAACTGCGTGATGTCAGCCCTAAGATAGTTGTTGTGAGGTGAAAAAATCCTTAAATAATGTGTGATTTTAGTGTTGAAATGTCTAAGTCCATAATGCTTATCTGAGGTTCTGAGCTCAACTCGGCCTAAGTGTATAGAAGCGAGCTCGAGTATGAGTGCTTAGCTCAGAGGTGAGGAATTTCGGCTCACAATGATAAGTGAGATTGTCTTTTCTTGATCTTGAGGTCCCAGATTTGCCTTAGTGGATTTCGGAGCGTCCTTAGCCTAAATGTCGATACTCATGAGGTATATGACAATATACTCCATCAAAAAGAATAACGTAAGTGGCTACATGAGCGTTGATGGCATATTTATAAACATTTAATTTGCAACAAGTCTAATAATTAAATGCTATGTGGGCTTGACCTAATTTATAAACTAATACTGACGTTAATGGGCTAGCCGGGCAGATGAATAATTACGCAATTCCAGACCAATTCCGCTAGTGAGAATGTGTTTTGAGCCTTGTCAAGCAAAATCTCGGATATAACAGACCAATAATGTTGAACTCAAGCCATTATCCCAACACGAGTCCTGTGAGTAGGTATTGGTCCGCCTCACTGGCCCTTGGTCCATCTCATTTAATGGCCTGTCTGCTATTTATTGCCTCCTGGACCGTTTGGGCTGTCCGCCTGACTCAGCCCACATGCTCCCTTTTGTCTTTGCCCAAGCCCATGTCTTTGTGGCCCTTACCTTATATTGTCCCGTTCCTTCTGGAATCTCCTATTTGATCGTCCCCTTCCTCTCTCTATCCGATGTGTAGTCTTTCCGGTTACCCCAGTTCTAGAGTGAGAGAGTGCCGGTATCATCTAGGGTTTGAGCTCCGGCTACCCTCCGGTGATACCTTGGGGATCCTTATGTGGGCTTCACTCTGTGCTGGTAGTTTGGGGGGTTCTTTTCCGGTGGGTTTCTCTGGGCAGTCTGGTCTGGGAGGGTTGGGCACTAAAGTGAGCGTTTGAGACTTGATGCCCTCTGATTTCCCTTGTTGACTCCTTGGTGGTGAATGGTGAGCTAGCCCTTGGGCTATGGTGATTGAGGTCTGAGCCGGTCCAGTAACTCTACAGTGGTATCAGAGTTGGAAGCTGCCTCTTCTCACCGACGCCGGAGACTCGCCGGAAGTACTTCCCCAAACTGGTAATGCCTAGGCTCCTCCTCGGATTGGTAAGTCGGGAAGTCTGATATAGACTCCCGCTCAGGTATATCAGCTTAAACCCTATCTTGGGCTGCCGGAGTGCCACCGGCTTCTGTGATGCATGGGTAGTTCTGAAACCCTAGGTTGAGGAACTGCCGGTTAGAAACCCTAGTTTTAAACCGTTGCATGTGTAGATTTTGTCTAAGACAGGTCTGCAGAAACCCTAGGTTGTTGAACTAGTGCATGAGTGGTGCTAATATGTGTCGAACTTAGCCCACAGTTGCCTGTGATATTATCTGAGCACCTTTGTGTTTTCTACTTGTTTGCTGGTCCTCTGTTGTTGTTGTTATCTGTTTCCAGTATATTTCGTTACCTGTGTTGATAGCAGGCCCGTGCCTTATGTAAGGCTGGAGAGGCCCAAGCCTCAGGGCCCCAAAAAATTGGAAAAATTAAGGGCCCATTTTTTTTTACAAAATTTAGTATTATACATATATGTATTTTATATCTAATTAGTCGACTCCTCTCAATTAAACCAACCTGCCCCTGCGATTTTCCGTTTGCGAAAGATACCAGCAGTCGAGAAAGTAGGGATTGAAGCGAACTAACAAAGAGGCGAAGCGGTCATGGATTCACGAGCGAAGGACTGGAGGAGGATTGGAGAAAATCCTTGCCGGGATCCTTGTCGGCCTTCTCTATCCAACTGTTCTCTACGTGACTACACTCTGGCCGAGAGAAGTGATTCTGGACATTTCTGGCTTCGCACAAATGCACAATCGCACTAGCGCATGTAACATTTTTTCCTTGAATTCCTTCAACAACTCTAGCTTTAACTCTTTAAGCTTCTACCGACTATAGTTATCGATTCTTGCTTATTTGTATATATTAGTTCATTCTTTGCTTTTTTTTTTGTTTAGGGTTATCATTTATCAATATTGCAATTATGGAATTCTCGATTTACAATTAGTTAAATTATGATATTATATGCTTTGTATTTTTAGAGAAAAATTACTATTATACTCCCTCCGGTCCTTAATTAACTTTACACTTTCCTTTTTGGGCCGTCCCATATTAAACTTTACACTTTCTTATTTGTCTTATTTGACAAAGAAATCTACACCAAACAGTGCCAAACAGTGTCAAACAGTACCAAACAGTGTACTCTACAGTAAAGTCAAATTTATTTCCTTAATATGTGTGAAGTCAAAGTGTAAACTTCATTAAGGACCAAAGGGAGTATATTGTTAAGGATACCACTAAATTATGTATTTTTTATTTTTCAGAACCACTAGATTATGCGGATGTGATGAATATTTTTGCATCTAAAATTGTTCGACGAGTTGTACTTAATTAGTTTTTAGTACATTCAGTAACATTTTGTTATCATGTAAGACTTTTATTTAAGAATTGTGGTTTTTTATATTTAATCATTGAATTTTAGTGAATTATATGACAAACAAATACTATGTATAGGGCACATTTATGATGCTCGCCTCAGGCCCGAGTTTAGTTAGGATCGGCACTGGTTGATAGTTTCTGATCCATTGTAATACTGTGGCTGTGAAACCCTAGTTGGCTAAGGCACCTGAGGTTAGGACTAGGGGATTCCCTGCCAGCCACCTCTGTGGCCCCGGATCTGCGTGGTCCCTTAGTCCGCAGCCTAACCTTCTAGGGCTAGGCTTCTGCATTACATTTGGCTCATTAATTGTGTGTGCTTGACTGTTATCATGGCTTCAAACCAGTATGGTATGATGCCTTTTAATGGTAAGACTGATTTTGATATTTGGAAACAGAAAATAAAATGTGTGTTAATTCAAAAGAAAGTTTATAGAGCTGTTATTGGGCAATACTTAGAAATTGAGGAAAAACCTAAACAAGTTGAAATGAATGAAACAGCCTGCTCAACCATATATTTAAACTTGTCTGACTCTGTCCTTAGAAAGGTTGGAGTCATTGAGTCTGCTAAAGACCTCTGGGATAAACTTGAGTCTCTATATACTGATACTTCCCTTCCTGGCAAACTGTTTTTTTTGGAAAAGTTTTTTAGGTTCAGACTTGACCTAACAAAAGATATTGATGAAAACCTAGATGTTTTTAATAAACTAATCCAAAACATTAAGCAGGTTGGGGATAAACATATAGATGACTACACTGCCATAGTCTTATTGAATGCTATACCTGATTCCTATAATGATGTTAAGTCTGCCATTAAATATGGGAGGGATGACATAACCCTTGATATTGTTATTAATGGTCTGAGAAGTAAAGAACTTGACTTAAAACATTCTAGGAACCATCATAGGGAATCTGGGGAAGCTTTGTTTGTTAGGGGAAGGTCTAAAAGCAGGTCTAGACACCCTAAAAAGGACAATCAGGATAAGAATGGTAGACAACCTAGTAAGAAAAGGTATAAGTCTAAGAAAAGGGTGTGCTATAACTGTGGGAACCCAGGTCATTTCATAAAGGACTGTACCCAACCCAAAAGAAATGAACAGGCCAACTCTGTGACCAATAAGGAAATTAGTGAAGAAGTGTTCATGGTCTGTGATCAGGCTAATTCTGTCCTAAGCAACCTAACTGAACTTGAATGGTTAATGGATTCAGGTTGTACCTACCACATGACTCCTTTTAAAATTATGTTTGCTTCTTATAGTGCTTGTGATTCTAGTTATGTGTCCCTAGCTGACAATAAGAAGTGTAAGGTCCATGGTGTGGGTGACATAAGTCTTAAGTTTGAAAATGGAACTGTTTTCAAATTAAAAAATGTTAGGCATGTCCCTGATCTTAGGCACAACCTGTTTTCTGTTTCTGTTTTTGAAGAATGTGGTCTTGAGGGTAAATGGGGGAATGGGTGTATGAAGATTTTGAAAAACTCTCTTGTTTTGTTTAAAGCTTTGAAAAAAAATAACCTTTATGTTGTGCATGCCAAACCTTTTTGTGAAAACGCTAATGTTGTACTCACTGATAAGTCTGTGCTTTGGCACCAAAGACTTGGTCATATGAGTAATAAAGGCTTGAACATTTTGCAAAAATCTGGGTGTTTTGGAACTGACTTGGTGTCACCTATACCATTCTGTGAGGGTTGTGTCTTA